GGCCCTTCAAAAGGAACAGCAAGAAGACCCAGCTGAGGATGTTTCTCCAGTGGAGGAGGATGAGGCAGTAGCAAATGTCCCTTCTGCAGAAATTAAGGTGTGTCAGATGTGGGAAAAAATGCAATCTTTTATTGAAAAGACTCACCCAGAGAAAGCTGTAGTAGGCCGTTGCCTTAATCTTTTCAATGACAATGTGATGCCTTACTACAGAGACAGCTTGCGAAGAAGGGAAAAACAAGTTTCCATGGACAGATTTGTTGTGAGAAAATCGAGCAGTGAGCCACAACCCACACCTAGTGGTATGCAGGCAAAACGTGCTAGGGAGTGCACACCAGAAAGGTCCTCACTGCCTGATGTTATAATGGAAGGGGACTCCCCTTCCAAACAGTAACACCTCTCCTCCTCCTCCTCCTCACCATCTTCCATACGCCTACAGCACTCATCAGCAAGGGTAAGTAATAACTTGAACATAGTTTTGTAGGTTTATTTAGATGAATTAGGTATAAAATTTAGTTTGAAGTGAGGTTTTTGGGTAGTCTGGAACGGATTAATTAATTTCCCATTACTTCTTATGGGGAAATTAGCTTCAGGTTACAAGTTTTCGGGTTACGAGCTGTCTCCAGGAACAGATTAAACTCTTAAACCGAGGTACCCTTGTACAGTACAACCTCGATTCAACGTACCCCAATTCAACGAATATCCGGCTAGTTCGCACACTTTTCAGGCCGGATTTACTCACCTGGTTCGACGAACAATGGTTCGCCGAAGCGGAGGATGTTCGGATTTGCTTACGATGTCCAGACAGAGTTCACAGACTGGTGGAAAACTTTCCCATTCTCACTTTACAGTGAGGTTTCACTCACTTTCGTCTGTGTCGTCATAGTTCAGTAACCCATGACTTTTGAAAGTGTCATATTAATAAATAATTTCTAAAACCAGTGTTGTAATAGCTTTTTATTATCCTAATTAAACTAAACTAAATAAAACCGAAAATATACTGTAATATGATAGACATCTGCTATTTGAGAAATTACTGTATGTTATTGGAACAACTCTAGCATGAGTGAGTGGACGGGTCTAATCCTTTGTACACACAGCACCATGCTTGTTTCGTTCGATTTCATTGCCACAGTTCAGTGACTACGGCCTCGAAATAATAAAATTAATAAATCAGTTCTAAAATAAGTTTTTTGATATCTCTTATTATCCTCCCTCTCTTATTATCCCTCCCTCCCTCCCTCCCTCCCTCCCTCTCTCCATCCCTCGTTCCTTCCCTCTCTCCAGCCCTCGCTCCTTCCCTCTCCCCCTCCCTCTCTCCCTCCCCCCTCCCTCCCTTTCTCCATCCCTCCCTCTCTCTCCATCCCTCCCTCTCTCCATCCATCCCTCCCTCCCTCCCTCTATCCCTCCCCCCTCCCTCCATCCATCCCCTTTCTCCCTCCGTCCATCCAGAATTTAAGAAATAAATCAAGTTAAAAAAAAAGTTAACTGGGTCAATGAGTTAGGGTTATTAGTGAGCCGGTCCCTTCACCACCACCACCACCGACACACCTCCCCCACCCCCCTACCCCTACAGCCCATACACACACACTGCTCAACTCAACCTCCACCTCCATACCTCCATCCCTCCCTCTCCCTCAAATCATCCATCCTTCCATCCCTCCATCTCCATCCTCTCCTTCCGTGGCTCCCTCCCAGCCTCTGCCAGCCTCCCTCCCTGGCTCCCTCCCAGCCTCTGCCTGCCTGCCTCCCTCCCTCCCAGCCTCCCTCCCTTGCTCCCTCCCAGCCTCTGCCTGCCTGCCTCCCTCTCAGGCTCCCTCCCTGGCTCCCTCCCAGCCTCTGCCTGCCTGCCTCCCTCCCAGCCTCCCTCCCTGGCTCCCTCCCAGCCTCTGCCTGCCTGCCTCCCTCCCAGCCTCCCTCCCTGGCTCCCTCCCAGCCTCCCTCCCTGGCTCCCTCCCAGCCTCTGCCTGCCTGCCTCCCTCTCAGGCTCCCTCCCTGGCTCCCTCCCAGCCTCTGCCTGCCTGCCTCCCTCCCAGCCTCCCTCCCTGGCTCCCTCCCAGCCTCTGCCAGCCTCCCTCCCTGGCTCCCTCCCAGCCTCTGCCTGCCTGCCTCCCTCCCTCCCAGCCTCCCTCCCTGGCTCCCTCCCAGCCTCTGCCTGCCTGCCTGCCTCCCTCCCTCCCTCCCAAGCTCTGCCTGCATCCCTCCGTGCCTGTCTCTCTTCGTGCCTGTCTCCCTCCGTGCCTGTCTCCCTCCCAGCCTGCCTCTCCCTCCCAAGCTCTGCCTGCCTGCCTGCCTGGCTGCCTCTCCCTCCCAAGAGCTCTGCCAGCCTCCCTCCCTGGCTCCCTCCCAGCCTCTGCCTGCCTGCCTCCCTCCCTCCCAGCCTCCCTCCCTGGCTCCCTCCCAGCCTCTGCCTGCCTGCCTCCCTCCCTCCCAGCCTCCCTCCCTGGCTCCCTCCCAGCCTCTGCCTGCCTGCCTCCCTCCCTCCCAGCCTCCCTCCCTGGCTCCCTCCCAGCCTCTGCCTGCCTGCCTCCCTCTCAGGCTCCCTCCCTGGCTCCCTCCCAGCCTCAGCCTGCCTGCCTCCCTCCCAGCCTCCCTCCCTGGCTCCCTCCCAGCCTCTGCCTGCCTGCCTCCCTCCCAGCCTCCCTCCCTGGCTCCCTCCCAGCCTCTGCCTGCCTGCCTGCCTCCCTCCCTCCCTCCCTCCCAAGCTCTGCCTGCATCCCTCCGTGCCTGTCTCTCTTCGTGCCTGTCTCCCTCCGTGCCTGCCTCCCTCCCAGCCTGCCTCTCCCTCCCAAGCTCTGCCTGCCTGCCTGCCTGGCTGCCTCTCCCTCCCAAGAGCTCTGCCTGCCTCCCTTCCTGCCTGCCTCCCTTCCTGCCTGCCTCCCTCCCAAGCTCTGCCTGCCTGCCTCCCTCCCTGCTTGCCTCCCTCCCTGCCTGCCTCCCTCCCTGCCTGCCTGCCTCCCTCCCTCCCTCCCTCCCTCCCTCCCTCCCTCCCTCCCTCCCTCCCTCCCTCCCTCCCTCCCTCCCTCCCTCCCTCCCTCCCTCCCTGCCTCCCTCCCTCCCTCCCTCCCTGCCTCCCTCCCTGCCTCCCTCCCTCCCTCCCTCCCTCCCTCCCTCCCTCCCTCCCTCCCTCCCTCCCTCCCTCCCTCCCTCCCTCCCTCCCTCCCTCCCTCCCTCCCTGCCTCCCTCCCTCCCTCCCTCCCTGCCTCCCTCCCTGCCTCCCTCCCTCCCTCCCTCCCTCCCTCCCTCCCTCCCTCCCTCCCTCCCTCCCTCCCTCCCTCCCTCCCTCCCTGCCTCCCTCCCTGCCTGCCTGCCTGCCTGCCTGCCTGCCTGCCTGCCTCCCTCCCTCCCTCCCTCCCTCCCTCCCTCCCTCCCTCCCTCCCTCCCTTCCTGCCTGCCTGCCTCCCTCCCTCCCTCCCTCCCTCCCTCCCTCCCTCCCTCCCTCCCTCCCTCCCTGTCTGCCTGCCTCCCTCTCTCCCTCCCTCCCTCTCTCCCTCCCTCCCTCCCTCCCTCCCTCCCTCCCTCCCTCCCTCCCTCCCTCCCTCTCTCCCTCCCTCCCTCCCTCCCTCCCTGCCTCCCTCCTTCCCTCCCTGCCTGCCTGCCTGCCCACCCACCCACCAGACAAGCCATCACTGACACAATGAGTGCGTTTGGAGCCGACATGGTGCACGGATGTTCCTTGATTGTGCAGATATGTCCAACAAAGTCACGGAATGAACACTCCAGCCTCTTGACAAATCAAAATATAGTGTTAAAATTAAAGTTGCAGTAATTTTAGTGTACAATAGTTTTCATAAATTTTATTGTAGTACTCAACATACAGCAGAACTACTCAACACAGTGTTAACTGCATAATACACTACAGTATGTATTTACTGTACAGCATTCACAACTCCATGAGACTTCAAGATGGACTTGACTCCAACAATAAGGTAAATAACAAATGTAACACAGTATTTGTTAGTAGAGTAATAATATATAGGTACAGTATATAATATGATAATGCATTTTTATTGTTACAAGAAAAAAAGACACTGATGCAAATGCCTCCTGAAGGTCACCTCTTGCAACGAATCCAACGTTCCAACGAACTGGGGTCGGTCCCATATAGTACGTTGAATCGAGGTTGTAGTGTACTTTGATATCCAACCTCAGAACTGCAGGGTGGATTGCCGGTGTGGGGGGTCTGGGGCTCCCCCTTTTCCCTCGCAGGGAGGGGGGAGCTGCACAGCTTGTGTGAGGTCATGCTTGTTTGCCCGTTTTCATTTGGGGAGTTCTGTCGATTCGTTTGTCTATGTTCATCGTTTTTAATCAGAATAGCTGTTTGTTTTAGGGCGCTTACCTCTCTGGGTGTCTGTCCTGGATGATGGCAGATATAGAATGCTCCAAAATCACATGTGCATTTCTATAGGCCATTGCTCCTCATGCCTCTCTGAGGGGGCCAGGTTCTGGCCATGTTCCCCGGTAGGCCTAGAACCCACCCACATCGACTGATGCCAAAAGTTAGGGCTATTCCTATCAGCCAGGATAGCTCTGGGCAGCCTCTGGGACTCACCCAGAAAATGGCATTTCATTACATTCAACACTGGTTTTATCATATTATTATATAACAAAATCATTGGTTATGCAGTTTATTATTTGTGCTTGACAATGTGCAAAATTATGTCCAATCATTTATAGAAGAAAACTTCAAAAATATGATTACAAAAAAAATATTTTTAGTGTCATTTTGAATATCTTATATATTTAATCCTCTTCTTTACTATTCTATGTATGAGGCAAGGGCCTTCCCTCCCCAGGAAAGTGAAAACCTTTAATGAGCATTAGAAATATGAAATAATTTAAGAGAATGAGGAAAATGTTTTGAAATATTTGGTCTTAAAATTATCATAGATACAGTTATGCCAAAATACGTATCTGAGTGGAGCCCCCAGAGCTATCCATGCTGAATGGATTTGTATAACTTTCTTGCATCAGTCAATTTTCATGGAGTTCTTGCCTACCAGGAGCCAGAACTGGGCCCCCCTCAGAGAGACACGAGGAGCAATGACCTATAGAAACCCCATTGTGGTTTTGAGCATTCTGTGCCAGCCATCAACCGGGTCTGACACCCAGAAAGGTAAGCGTCCCAAAACAAACCCCTATTCTGGTGAAATTATAGCTACCGAAAGCAGAATAAGTAGATAGAACTCCCCAAACGAAAATTAGCAAACTAGCATGACGTCATCACGTTGCCGTGACGCTGTCTGCGCAACCCCCCTCCCCCCCCCCTCCCTCCCTGGGAGGGGAAAGGAGCAGCCCCAGACCCTGCGCCGGCGATCCAACTACCAGTTCTTGGCTGATGCAATTCTGGAGAAGTCGTGTGCCTCTGGTTCCTGTGTTTTGTCTCAGTTCTGTGCCCTGTGGTGTGGGTTGTCTCAACAGGTGGTATGTGAGTCAGGAGAAATATTCTACGATACTCAGGCTGCATGCGCCTAGGGTTCCCTTCCCTAGATGCCCTGTAAGTACTGCCCTTGGGGCCTCGTTCCACAAGTCACCTTGGGGTCTACCTGCGCTGTGTCTTTTACTGCTCGGTACTTTGCCGCCCTTGGGGTCAGCTCGGGTTTTGTTGCTCTTGTTTTGTTGCCCGGCCGGAAGGCAGCCGCCACTTGCTCCTCAACTTGAAGTCAAGACGACTGGCTGCAACCTGCGACTCCAGGCTGCACATGCCCGAGAAGGGACCAAAACATTAACGAGGTACCGTGCGGCCAGGTCTCTGTTCAACCTCGAAATGCCCTGCACCCAAATGTCAGCCCAGGACATATTACCAAAAACTGCAGCCAAAGCCGCAAACTTACGAATGTCATGGGCACGGGGATAGACCGCAGGCTGGCTGGACCAAATAATCCTGCGGATAACCTGGGAGACCCGTGCCCTGGAAAAGAGAAGAAGGGAAATCGGGTCAACCTGTAACGGTGGCCGGGGGTAATGGCTCTCTTTCGTCCACTAGCCTGCCTTAATTAACTATACTTAACCCTTAAATTGCTCATGGCATATATATACGCCATGAGTAACATTACGGGCTATTCATGCCCGTGCCACCTCTTGGGTGGCTTAATCTTTATCAATCATGAGTAACATGTCCCACGGTGCGTGGGTGCGTGATATATAATGTGTGTATTAGTGTAATAACAGCAAAAGGATTATGTTTGGGAGGAGCCATTTGGGTGACGGTGGTGGCGTCATCTGCATGACTTGTCTGGCTGTGTGGAGGGTGGCCACTATGCTCTTTGGACACCCTACAAGCTTATGTGTACAGTTACGGTGCATACAACATTTAGATACTTATATATAATGTGTGTATATAGTGTAATAACACTGTAAACAGTATTGTTGGGGGAGAAATTTAGTATGTGTGATTTTTTTTTGTCCCCTAACTCCCCTTGCCACTTCGGGGGGGTATAGGGTTTTTATGTAGCTTCAGGGCACTAATACCCCCAGCCACAGGGCATGGCGAGACGGCACCCCTAAGCATACCTAATACCCTAGCAAACACAAACTAAAATAAACATATATGGCAGATCTCATCACACCCACAAGAGTTAAGATGATACTAATAATACATAATAATAACCTGAAAATAAACAAACATTAATGGAAAATTCTTTTGTCTTTATTTTTTTCTATATGGGACACAGCACACACAGGTAGGGGTGCACAGTATAACATTAAAAAGAACAAACGCTGAAGGCCAAAGCAGCAAGCTGCCCAATCGGCAGGGTTGATGATTTGACGTCGGCATACATGGAAAACTAGACACAGTGGAAGCTCCTAACAAGGCCCCGGAGCGGGAGGGTTATCATGTATGCGCATGGGGTCCCTCCGGTCGCCGCCTTACCTACTCGTGGGCTCCGGCCAGGTCATCCACCCTCTTGTGAGACGCCATTAGGAGAAGTGGTACTCCGGATGACGAAACTGCTTAGATAGTTGGCTACCAGCTATTGTGGCTGCGGTTCACCTAAGCGTGACTATATTGACCCTTATGCACCCTGTGCACAGTGATCCCGGGACTAGGGTGGCCTGCCCCTTGACGTGGTCTTGGACCATATTCTGTATATAGAATATGTCCAGGTCAAGGCCTTCATGGAGCAAATCTCGAGGTCGCTCTTGGTGAGACCCATACCTTGTCAACCACGCGCACTCTCCTTGCACCATCCACCCCTCCACCCGTAGCGGCCAGCTACGAACCGGGTGATGTCGTCGTGATGTTTCACCCGAGCCCCGTGTGTCTTGTGGCAGGCCTGGGATATGTGGCCCAGGGTTCCTGGTTTCTGACAAGCATCACAGAGACCAGAAGCCTCGGGTCTACCCCTGGCTGCCCTAGACGGCGTGGCTACAGCGTTTGCCCTGATTTGGATGGCGTGAGCAAAATCTCCTCCGCTTAGCAGACGGGTGCCGGACGCAACCCACTTATGACAGGATGGGACCTCACAAGAGGAAGCGAGGCCGGTGCCATCGACCATGCTGTACAGTTTTGCCTTCCACCTCCTAGCGCACTCGGTCGTCCTGCTGGAAGACGTTCCAGCAGCCGTGGTCGGGTCTACCCATCGACGCATTCTCGCTTGGAATGCGGGTAGGAGAGCCGCTGCCACCACCACTGGGTCCGCCGACCCTGTTAGTGCCCCGAGCCGCTTGTTCTTTTGTAGCCAGATTGATGTGGCAAAGTCGGGTATCCCTAGTCCATCGTCCTTTACGTCAGCGTGGATAAAGGCGTTAGGAGTATCGTGGGGCAGCCGCAGCCAGCCACGAGTGGCGTGGCGCAGCCGCCGGTCCAGCCTCGCTAACTCCGTTTTAGCCACGTGTCCGAGGACAAGGCGGTGGTTCATCTTGGGGATTAGGTGGTGCTTCAGTAGGTATAGCCTCTGTTGGGGTTTGAGCGGTGCCTTGGTGATATTAGTCAGGCCGTCCTCAAACAGGGAACCATAGGATAAGCGTCTGCCCCCGGCCCCGATCAGTATCCCTAAGTACTTGTACTCGTCCGCCACACTCATAGTACCAATAGCATCGTCTCCGACGTAGTATGCCTTCCTGGTGGGGACATGCCATGTCTTTCGATGCGTATCGATCGCTATGCTCAGCGTTCGGCACTTCGCAGCGTTTACTTTGAGACCAGAGCCGCGCAGCGTGTGGCAAATACTGGTTATGAGTGTCTGTAATCCGGCAGCCGTTTCTGCTGCCACAACCAGGTCGTCGGCGAACGCCAGCGCTGATACCTTATCACCTCCCAGACCGACCCCTAGCCCCAAGCCCTTAGCCCTAGTAATTGCCTCATCAATTATTAGGTTGAAGAGAAATGGAGACAGGGGGTCACCCTGTTTCACCCCCCTAGTGATCAGGATGTCCTGATCACGGACATCCTGGTCACGGACATGGTCCTGATCATGGACATGGTATTGAATGAGTGAAGGAGGCAGCTGCTAGTTGACTTGTCTATAGTAACGACTCTTGGTGCCTGAACTAACAATATTAGCTTAGTTGTACAGTTGTGGTGAGCAAACCATATAGTTACTTGTATATAATGTCTGTATATAGTGTAATAACACCACAAACGGTATTGTTGGGGGAGAAATTTTAGTGTGTGTGAACTTGAATTAGTGAGGGAGGCAGCTGCCAGTTGACTGTGTGTAATGATGTCCCATAGTGCCTGAACTACCTATATCAGCTTAGTTGTACAGTTGTGATGAACCTGTAGAAATTTATATGTAATGTCTGTATATAGTGAATAAAGTAAAAAACAGGATGGTGGAAGGAGAAAGTTTGCGAGTGAGGCATTGTTGAGGGAGTGGCAACGAGTGGCTGGCTGGTGTGTGGCAGTCACTCCTCGTTGCTTTTCGACTCACAATACCAATTTAGTGGTTCGTTATGGTGAACAAAACATCCAGATACTTATATATATAACCTGTGTATAGAGTGTAATAACAGCAAATCTATTTGTATATTGTTTTATGAACATAATAATTGAATCACTAATATGCACATCATACTTTTGAGTATAGCGATGATTCACCCCTTTTATTATATAAACATATCACAATACACACAATTAAATAATATTACTGCAAAAAACTAAGAAAAAAATCAGAGACATTGAAATAATTAGGCAATAATATCTTTGTGGTGTTGGGGTTCACCTCTCTACCCTTACTCAGGGGTGAGCAATAATTATGCTCAAGGTCACTCACCGTAGCCCTGCGGGTCTTCACTCGATCCTCACGGCGCCACTGCACGCCAGGAGAGTCTCCCAGTCAATCTTAACGGCCTCTAATTAAGAAAGAGTGAGAACACGACTCGTGCACTTGAGTGTCGTGTGCCCTCCCCAACAATCGGGCTCTACGGTTAACCACAAGGTCGCCAACTGGTGTTTTAGGTGGCCAGTAACACCATCAGTGGACTAGTGGAATGAGTGGTAGCCTTGGCAAGGTCACACTCAAAAGATCAGGAATCAGGCAGGTACTTATTGTTATCACTCAATGCTTACCAGTATAATATAGCCACAAGATCAATGGAGGGAATGATAAAAACACAAAGATGGTTTTGTACTTTACTTAAAATGTATGAAAGATGTCACAAAGGCCAAACAACAACAAATAAGTCAACTGATCCCGATGCGGCCGGAAGTTCCCACGGATAGTATGCGATCACTAGGGTGGCAACACTCCCCTCCTCATCAAGTGTCAAGAACAGCTGATTGCCTGGCTCCCGCACGAAAGCTTTGCTTGTTTTCTAGATTCGCGCGCGCTGTTTCTTTAAATTCTCCAATGTTACTAGAAACTCGCACACTCGATATTGGCTACAATATCACGTATCACTTGGTTACACTGTACTCAGGCTCAAACAGTCTTTTCTACAATCAATGCTATAATGACTCACAGTAATGGTCTTACACTGTTATTCATCCAACAATATATTATGAAATATTAACACTGGAGTTTTCAGTACTTTCTCTCGTGGGCGATAACTCAATAATTCACTGTACTCACAAACGACTTATCACTGCATGAACATAGCATATAAAATGTAGACACATCAAATATCAATACATGGAAAATAAATGATTTCTGGGCACACAGCCTGACTTTC